GTGATGACATTGACCCAGTAATAAAATATCCTCTCCACAGAGAAAATATCAACATTCAAAACTGTTAAAAATTCAAACATCATTGAAACTCTCCTAAAAACTCCAGGAATAAAGAATTCCAGTTTCATATGAAATGTTCCAGGATACAGGAAGTCAGAGTACCTTTTATTTGTCTGATGGACTAATAACCTCACTGCTAAAACCCAACAAGAACAATGCAAGAAAGGATGTGCTATTCTCAATCACACATGTAGATGCAGAGGAGTCCAAGTTCAGTAGTAAAAAGAGTAACACTCTATAAACAAAGTGGCATTGTTACAGGAATGCAAGGTTGGTTCCATGGAACTCATCACACTAAGAAATTAAAGAAAAATCATTTGATCATCTCACTAAAGGTGAAAAAAAGTGTTGAAGAAATTTCAACATCCGTTTATGCTAAAACTTTCAGTAAGTTAAACATAGAAGTTTTTTTTTTTCTTTAACCATGTTAGAAGTCAAGTCAACGTGGTGAAATTCAAAACTGGAAAAATTCTGCATTTGTTTTTTCTTTTAAGATTTATTTATTTGACACAGAGAGATAAAGAGATCCTCCATCCACTAGTTCACTTTCCAGAAGGGTGGCAACAAATGGTTGATGACACCACAGGCAGCAGCTTTATCTGTTATGCCACTGGTTCCAAAGTCCTGCGTTTGTGGACCTAGGGAAGTCCTGTCAGTCTTGAGCATCAGCAGGGGCTTGATTTTAAGACTCTCAAGGGAAACCAAAGTTTGAAGATGATCAAATCCCTGATACAAAACAGCATGGTACTTACATAATAACTTAGGTAAATGTTTTATATATTTTAGATCACCTCTAGATTGCTTCTAATTCCCAACACAAGGTAATCGCTGTGTAAACAGTCGTCACAGTATATTCTCCAGGGAATGATGGCAGGCTAAAAAAGGGTTCACACCATCAGTACTGAGGTTGACAGACAGCACTGCCGTGGGACCCAGAAACACGAGGGCTGACTGTCATCAGAACAACGCCCCATCAGGCATGCGTGGAGCTCAGCTTTCAATCCCTAAGTAAATCTGTGTTGCAGTGCACTGTACACTATCAATAGGGGCAGGTGGAGGGAAGGCCTCCGCTCCCTTCACTGTATGCTCTATTCCAGGTTACAAACGTTAACTCACGAAAAAGTTCCTTCCTCTCTTAAAAGCCACAAAATTTGAAGAGGCAAAAGGAACAGCCAAGTATTAGGGATAAATTCTAGGCGAACAAGTAGAAATAAAAGAAAAACGAGCACTGATTAATTAATCAGAATTCCAAAAGAATTACCTTGCCCCTTTATGTTTGGAAGCCTCAGACATATTCACCAAGGCCGGGAATGTTCTCTTTCAGAAGATCCTGTGTACATCACTGACCCTGTCTTGGGGCCCCATGGATGCCACACCCAGGTTGCAACCGACAGTACTGACAGCCTATTTCCATACTGATGCCCAGAGCGACAACGCAGAGGCTGAGCATGTCTACCCAACCTCTGAGGATTTTCTTAAAATTTGTCTCTTCTTGTTCTGTTTGCTTCTTTCTGTGATGTGAAATGACAGTGTGGTATACTCTGAAATTCGTAGATGAGCTATTTTAGCAGTGCCTCTTAAATTCAATAGTGGGCCTTTGCTCAACATAAGCAGATGTGGTATCATCAAAGACCAAAATAGATAATGGCTATCAGTATGGGCATAACCCAGGAACGTTTTCCAAATTCTCCTATCCAGCACATGTAAACATCATAAATGATAAGAGAAAAAAAACCCTAAGTGATGGGGCTGGCTGATGGAAAAGCACTCTGTGAGGAGCAGCTGGCCTTCTGGGATAAATGGACTATGTCTGAACATGCCAAATTACATGTTTCCCCCTCCTTCCCTGTGGGGAGGAAATCACCAATATAAATCACAGCCTTCAAAACTCAGTATTTATCTTCTAAAAATAAATTGGGTTGTGAAGAATTATATACTAAGATTACATAAAACGTTAAGAGTGTACTTTTGACTAGATTACATTTTCAGTAACGACCATCACCATCAATAAACATATATGGAGGACAAGTAAGATATAGAGCTAAAAGTCATCTAAAGAAATAGGTCCACAGTAAAGTGCTTATTCTCTGAGCTTATTACTCTACTCAACAGAATGGATAAAACACATGGGAAAGCAAAACAAGAAAGACAGGTGTTACAGCAAGGGTTTAGATTAAATGATGGAGGAATTTAGTAGGATTTTGTTGTTCATGAGGTGGATAAAGTTTTGGTGGTTTAAGAACAGGATAAAGTTCAAGGTCCCCATGGATTTATCAAGGTCACTTACCCAGCTTTTAGTGGGGTTTAGTGGCTGTTGGTAACTCAAAAGAAATCAAAATCTATCAAAACTAACAGTGCAGTTGCAAGTTAATGTTTTGGTTTCTGAGAGTAGGACCCAGTATTTGGCTATGTGGTCTTTACAAGGTTTTTAGCTGCTCTAAGACCTGACACTTTATTTGTAAACAGAGTTCATTTTTTATTCTGTGTTGGTTATGGAGCTGTTAAAAAGTTCCAGAGATTATATTTCCTTCAATTTTAGCAAATACCACATCCACGCAGTAGGGTAACTTCTCAAGTACTCTTCCCTCTAATTTTAACAAAACCATGGGGAAAAAACCAAGCTACAGCTATTAATAAGCCTGTCCACTTCAAGGCAGGCATAAAAGTTACTAAATGTGTGGTTATTAAGTCTGATACCATATATGACTGATTATTATTACTTGTGCAAAAATCAAACCAGAAATTGTGGTCCATCTCATTTTCTATGTGCTATTATCGACACGCAAATGAATAACCCTCACTGTTGGGCAAAGGCAAATAAAGACCAAATTTGAGAAAGAGAAAGAAAAAGAGAAAGGAAGGAAGCAAGGCAAGGAGGGAGGGAGAGAGAAAGAAATAAAGGCTGGAATCGGGATGATGGTAGAGAGTGGGATCCTGGTTTCTCCAAGCGTGACACTAATACAAAAGACCCTGTCCCAGATTCAGTCTCTAAGATGGAGCCAAGAATCCCAGTGGGGACCTTTGTTCATGCCCAGTTTGGGACTACAGAAGCCTGCATGGCCCAGACTTGCTTTTACTTTACTGACTCAGCAGCCTGCATAATACACCCTTCACCCCTTTTCTCTCCAGGTTCTCTGCATCATCGGTCTCCTCCCCCACCCCACAAGCATGAGGTCTTGTTACATGAGACCCATCACCCCTACAGGCAGAAGGGAAGGAGAAGGAAGTTCAAGACACCCAGGCAGTCTCCAGGAAGGAAGGAATGAACCTGAAAAAGAAACAACCTGCTTTCTAGCTCCTGCCCCTCTGTCTTTTCACACCTGAGGGCAGAGCCTCAGAAACCTCAGGAATTCAAACCTCTTCCTCCCCCTCCTCCTTTCTGGAGAAGGGGAGCCTGGGTACAAACCTGCTTCCCAACCGCCACCCTGTCTAGCAGCCCTGCTGACAGGTTCTTCTCCAACTCAGGTCATCTTGACACATGGACCCCTGGATGATACACAAGGACCAAAGCGAAAATACCAGCAAAAGTCTGGAAATGAATAAAATGTCCTTCTCATTTTGACGGAAATGTGCCTCACCCACTCCCTCAATCCATAACCCCTGCAGAAAATCAGACAGATGCTGCTGAGAAACATGACACCAAAACACCATTGAAACGAAAACGGCATCTAGGCCAGAGCTCACAACTTGGCAGGCGTGCAGGGTGCTTTTGCCCATGGAGGTTTTGTTTAGTCTGCAAAGTGTTGTTGTTTTTAATTAGTATTAGTTGTCATCTTAAAAACAATCTGTACTTCTTTAAAAAAAAAAATCCAAATTTCCAAATCCTCTGGAAAAAGTACAAACTGCTTAATACAAGGTGATGGTTGCCAAAAGCTCAGTTGCAGCTGTCTCTTCTAGCTGAGCTCCCATTGCACCGGGAGACCTCCTCCAGAGCTGGCTTCCCAAAACAAGGATTGCCTCTGGGCCCCAGCCGCATCAGGCAAGTTCTATATAACTTATAGGGTAAGGAGGTAAAGGGATTCTAGACAAAGGTGCTTTGCTTCTTCTGCCATTTCTTCTAGAAAAAAGGGACTATCCGTGTAAAGACTGGCAGGCATCTGGGCTGGGCCATGCCGGAGGAAAGGTATTCTCATACATTCTCCCTTCTTCCCCTGCCACGTTGCTCCCACACCCAGCCAGTACAGCCAAATAGGGAAATGAAATTCAACTGTCACCAGGGTCACAGTCCCTGGAAACACCATTGACAATTTAGGACCCAAGGTAATCTTATTCCAGAGACTTGAAAACACACACACACACACACACACACACACAGGCCACAAGTGTCCAAAATTCTAGAATACTACAGACAACAAACATGGAAGGCTGGAATGTAAACAGTCACATTGGTTCCATGAACACCAGGCTCACACATTTTTTTTTGTATTGGATAAATGAATGAGTTTGGTCAAGTGACCTCTGATGTTTCAATCTCCTTATTAGGAATGCAAAGCTGCCTGGAATGCAACCAGCAGATGTGTCTCGAAAGCAGATAATTAGTTTCTTAACTATTTTTCTAGTGTTGAGATACATGAAAATCAGAGGAGTAAAAATACCTCCTGCAACTCAGCAGTCTTCCTGACCATGGGAAGTTAAAATGGTAATAAAGTAATTATGGACGGCAGAAACCAAAGTTCACTTCTCCCAGGCAGTGCCCACGAGGAGCTAGGCACCTAGCTGGAGGGTGCTCTGGCTCATTAACCACACTGTACCAGCTTCTTAAAGATGATGATGATGTCATGTCTGCAACCCATCTGGAGCACCTTAGGAACAGGGTGGTGTACAAATAGGTCAAGTTCATATCAATGTTAGTCTGACCTTGTGTCTAGGTCAGCCTGGCAACACTTGGGCTGACCACTCATCCCGGTAGGAGAGGAAAGGCTTCCAAGACCAGCACCTACCTCTGTTCTGATGGATACTGGTTTTCTGGCATCATCTTTGGCATCTGCAGGGGCTGATGTGGCGGCCGTGGGACAGCAAACGTTTGCTGCTGTGGTCCAGGCTCTGGAAGCGCATGGGAGGCGGGCGCAGGGCCCACAGCTTGCACTGGGCCAGCTGTGGGAGCATGTGCTGAGGAGGACAGAGCAGCCTGAGGTGGGGGAAAGAGGGGGTTCTGCTGGGTGGGAGACAGGGGAGTGGTGGGAGGGGTTAATGGCTTGAACCCGGAGGGAGGCTTCCTATCATAGGCACTGTAAACAGAAAGACAAGAAGGAACCAGCCGTTAGCTTGGTTACCAAGCCTGGTGGATCTCTAGTTTGCAACCCATTGTTGCCAGGAAATGACAGCATTAACATAGTTAAATTGCCAGCAGCCCCGAGGGAATATTTGTACCTCTGAAAAGTGACAAACACACTGCGTCACAGGGACTTGTTTAACACTTCTAGTGATTTTTTTCTCAAAGATAATTTTAGCCTCTGCTTCCGGTTTCCTTTTTTCCCTCCTTCTAAAAGAATTCTCCCAATAGTGCCTGTAGGGGTGGATGGATGAGGGGCAACATGTTGCGTCTTCAGCAAGGCCTCCTCTGGTCCCCCCACGCGTGAGCACTCAGGGTTCCCGGGAATTAGTCAGCATCACTGGTGCAGGTGAAATTCTGACGCAACCTCACTGCCGTTAACAGCTCTCCTCTCCTGTACCGCCCCCCTCTCCGCCCCCTCTTTCAAGCAGATCTGTTTGTCTTCCAAAGCAAAGATTCAAAATTCAAGCTTCATTCCTAGGGCCTGGATATTCTTAGGTAAAGGGCACCAGCATGGAGACTTGTACATAGATTTTGATTTGAAGATTACTTCTTGGGTCTTAAAGTTCACATTAACATATGATAGATGCGAAGAACTATATATGACCTGTCACAAAGCCACAGATCAAATAACCCAGTATTACAGGTTCTTCCCCTAGGAGGGCTCAGTGTTCCCTTGAACTTAAGGCCACTGTAAGAGTTTTGCATTTCAGAGTTTTGCATTTCACAGGCAGCCCAAAGGCCTCCAGTGGACTGGACTAGGCCAAGAGGATTAAACTCAGGTGAAAAAAGGGAAGGTCCCCAGCCCAGCTAACACCTGGACCGCTTGCTCACCTGGAGGCCTGCTTCTGCAGCCTTTCTGGCACTCCACTTACCAATAGTTGTAGAGGCACTTTTCTCCATAGTTAGCACCAAGAGCCTGCTCGTGACTACAGGATGACAGCTCCGAGGAGGGGCTGTGCAGCTCGCGTTTGATCTTGGTTGGAGGTGGGGCATGAAGCACCACTGAAATCAAAAGAGAGATGGGGATAAAGAGGACAGCTGGTTAACAGGGAGCACAGTATCTCCTTCCTAAAACCTTGTAACTAGCTGATGGTTCTTCGAGCTAATGGCCAGTTACAAGCCAGACAAAACAAGACACATAACATCCCATGAAAAGCCAAGTAAAGTTTTTCAAAACCACTTTTAGTTAGCCAAATCTTTGTTTCCTCTCGTTTTTGAAGGCATAGGCCTTGTTATTTGAAGACTTGAAAGCCCTTAACCCACTTGCAGCCCTTCCCCATGCCCCTGCCAGTAGGTATAGAAAACAGGTGGTGGCAGAGTACCAAGAGTTGCACCCAGGGAAAATTGTTCCAAAAAGGGATCAAACAGCCAAAAAACGTGCAGCAAACCTTACATATTAGTTTATCAAAGGCTTAATATTGCTGAGACAAACGTTACTTCTCATTCAAACTCATCTTTTCCAATTAATTGCATGATTTTTAAGGTCCCTTCTCTATTTAATCTAAGGAACACAGCAGCGTAAGCTAGACTCAACTTTAAGGACATAGCAAAAAATTGCAGACGTCAAGAAATTAAGCAGTAGACAGACACACCTCCTAGGAAAGGCTGAACTACACCAAGTAGAAGTCCTGGAGACCTTTACGCTGCCACCAGCTCCAAGCCTGCTATGGTGGCCTCTGAGCACCGAAAAGGTTTCATCAATATAGAAGGAGCTCAACTTTCCCTGAATTCATGAAGCAAGCACATAGTGCTACTGCTCTATGTAGGGAAGCCAATTGCTTATTTCACTCATAATGCTAACAGAGCAAAGCCAAAAGTTTTCCAAATCAAAGTAACTTACTATAGTAGCTTTAAAAAAAATCCCCAAAGAGAAAAAAAGAGAGAGAGAGACAGAGAGAGATACACCTTTGTTTTATCCAGGATCTAAACAGTTTCAGAGAGGGCATTTTATCCAAGGTAAATAAAGATGTCACACGAGGGTTGTGTCTGCTTCCATGTAAGAATTAGGACAGCTACTTCCTCTGTCCAGCCACCATGAAGGGTGGTAACAGCGCCTCGGCCAGCCTCTATGCTGAACCAAAGTTCTCATTAAATAGTTAACCTTAGTCAGTGTCCTGATGACCTGCTAGAATTTTCTGCTTGACGTAATGTTTACTCCCCAAACACTTCCAGAAGTTCGATTAATTCTTAGTGATTAAACCGGGGATAACTGGCTAAATCATTATCCCTCTTCTGTCTGCCAAGACTGAATGATCTTCCCGCCAACTAGTTTTACAGGTGCCTCCTCCAACCCCAGATCCAGGGCTGCGGTGTGAAAGTGTGAGGCAAATGATGCAATCACAGAAGACAAGGTTATAAGGCAATGTCGCCGATAAGTCTGGCCAGTGGCTGACTGGCAAAGGATAGGTTTCCATAATTCCTTATATAATGCCAACTACTTTTCCTAAATACATGGAACTAAGTTGTGAATTGCAGTCTATATTTAGAAGTCATTAAGAGTCTTTCTTGTGATTTTTTGATGGTGACATCATGGCAGCCAATGCTTAGTTGTTACCAAATGTTTTCAGACACTTAAAAAAAAATAAAACAGCTAAGCTTTATTGTTGTTTTGAGTGACATCAGTAAATGTAAAGGAACATGTTGAGCCACTCCTTGATAGGCCTGCAGGGCTCAGGGCTGTCCCTCCCTGGCCACTGCCTTACCTCTCCCTGATTGGCTGCCACATACATTTTGTCAAAATAACGAGGAAAGGGAAAAAGGATCTGATTTAGGAGAAGTTACATGTCTTTGGAAAGCTGACTTTTCCTACTTTAATGGCAATCATTTACAATCACTGCTTCACTGAATTTTGGAACATTAATACAGTACTACTTAATTTTCCCATTTTCCAGTTTTAAAAATGTCTTGACATTCTCAGGATATGGTATTCTTATAAAAGTTACCAGGTTAGCTGACATGACTAACACCAGAGGGTAAATGATTGCTATAGTCTAGAGAAAGAAATTTCTCAATGGTTTTGGGAACAGCAGATATCCAATTTAAAGAACTTCAATGGCCAGGAAACTACGCTGTCTTGATTTCTTCAAATCTAGATGATACTTTTAGTGCACACCACATAATCTGACTCAACATACATGGTATCTCCTTCAAAATCAACTTATAAAAGGAGTTTGAGAAATACCTGATGAATGGACCATCTTTCCCAGTGGCTCTTAACCAGGAAGGTAGGGCTCATATCTATCCCAACACAAGGCCAAGCACACTGTTAGCCCCAAAGACTGCTAGACTAGAGGAGGAGAGAAGGTGCCCAACCATGGCCTTGGTCAGAGAGAGGGGTGCATTTAAAGCAACAACTCAGAAGCCAGAGGCTGCACCTGGTGTTCAGCCTGTTTCCTCATTTGTAAGAGGAGGTATGGGACGCTGCCTCAGGAAAGACAGAAAATGACTCGGGGCCTTGCTGGTGCTAGGACCAACCCTGGGCTTTCAAAACTAGAGGAGTTACCTTTGCACAACTGGATTTCTCCACGAGGCTAGAAACCTCAGACTAGAAAGCATGGGTGAGAACTGGATGTGAGAAATGACCAAAAAATGCTAAAACAGTTAACTACTTGAGCTGACAAACATCTTCAATTAGAAACTGAGTTCAAGTTCAGAGTTCTAAAATATGGGCCTACCAAGTCGAGGGTGCCTCGATAGTAATTCCAGATGACCAATACCACCTTCTTTGCCATAAAGGTTTCTTCTTTTCTCCTCCCCATCCCGGGCCCCTTCATTTACTTCTGTGCGCCACGTATTCTGGAGGTGTAGGGGACAGGATCCTTAACAAGAGACATGGTCCTTTCCCCTGGTGTCCCTAATTTAGTTAGAGCTCACTGTGACCATCTTCTCCTAGATGTAGTTAGACACATTAGGACCTCTACACTTAAAACACTACCCTTCCACTTGCAGCTTAGGATCCTGATACCCAAAAGGAGTAAAGGATCCGCTTAGGATCTCATGGATCCCCTATGTGAATTGAGTAGTCTTGTTGCTGCACAGACAGAATTGACATGCATTCCATTCACCCACTTCATACATTAAAAATAGAGGATGCCAGTCAGTCTGTCAACAAAAACTACAAAAATAACACAATGTACCTGGTGGAGAAAAAGTGGTCTGGAACAAAAGGAAAATGGACAAGAAATAAAGTCTCCACAAAAGAACCAGGAAGACCAAGAACCAGGCAACCAGGAAGACCCCTAAGCATTTATTTTTTCATCAGTTGCTCTTACTTATTTGATTTCATTCCCTTCCCAACTCATTTAGAAAAGAAAAAACAAAAAAAACCCACACTCCATTGTTTCTATTCTATAGGTAGGAAAACAAGGCCCCTATGGGAGTACTGCCATCTTAAAGTTAGCAAGTAGCCAGGGTTTCCAGCCAAGCACAATTCATAATTGTTCCATTACAGTGTCTCCCAGAGGCAACCTTAGGGAAGACTGAAAAAGCTACTGGAACAGGGAAAGTGAAGGAGAAGGAAGACAACCTAGAAGACATCGGGAAAATACAGTCTGCCAAATCAAGGCACAGGACTGTGCCTTGTGATTTCCTTGGCACTCTCCAGCAGCAGGCACCTCAGACACTAGAACCCACCCAAGCTCACATGCCTTACTCTATCTTTAGTATCTCCAAAGGCCCGCCCCAAATTCCTCCTTACCCTATGGGCAACTAACTTCCCCGACTCCAGCAGTCTGCAATTTTTGTAATCATGTTCCAAGGGTCTCCTTCTCCCTCCTCTACTCCAGCTGATCAATATCCTCATCTCACCTAAATAACTCAAATCACTGTGGGAGACCTGGAATCTCCTGGTCAGTCATCGTGGCAGTCACACTGTGCATTGTTACTGTCAGTATGTCTCTCTCCCCCAGAAATCAGGCCCCAACCTGAACCTGTTTCTGGATGAATTTTCTCAGGGTCCTCTCTGATTATAAGAACTCTACGAAGAACTCATGCAGAACCATCTGAAGGCCTGCTTGTCCAGAGAGACAAAGGTAAGAGTGGTTGTTGGCTGATTTAACTTCACAGTTGCTTTTCTTACCAGACAGGGAGACCCCTTGAAAGATTCTTGATACAATTCAAAAACTAGTCCCAGTCCTAGCCAATGCAATAAGGCAAGAAAAAGAAATATAATATCAAAGGAACAGAAGGGAAGAAATATTTACGCAAGGTCTAGCTGCATACAAGGAATATACAAAACTGTCCACAAAGTGTAACAACCAACAGGCTTGTCTGGCAAGGTCCCTGTGTATAAGATAAGCAATAGGAACTATATCTGTGTATAGCAACTAAAAGTATATTAGCAATAGCCACAGAAAGATAAAATGCATGAGAATATATCCAATAAAAGACATATAAGATGTCTACACTGAAAATTACAAAACACAGGAAAACTAAGGGACTCTCAATAAATGGAGGGATTTATCCTATTTTGGATTAGAAAGTGCTTTTCCCAAATTTAAGTTCCAATTAGTCCCAAACCTTAGCACTATACAGTAACATGGACTGAGACTGACATGGGTAAATCTCACACATATGCTGAGCCAAGGAAGCCAGACACAGATGGTGCACCATGAGAATCCCCAGCAGAGTTCAGGAGGGGGAAAAACTATCCACAGTATTTAAAGTGGATGGATGCTACCATAGAGAGGGCAGGGTCTGTTAAGGGACCAAAGACATTCTTCTGTATCCTGATCTAAATGCTTAAACCATTTGTGAAATACGCCAAGCGACTTTAAATTTCTACTAGGAAAAAAAAAAAACTTGTCTTTATCAAATAGTATCATTAACACCAAGACCACACAAAGTTTTAGAAAATGTTTATTTTGTGATGATTTAGAAACAGCCTTCTAAAGAAATAACCCAATTATTTTAAAACAGAAAAAAAAAAGATAAACTGGTCCATTCACAAGAAATAATTCCCTCTGCTGACAAAAATATGTTTCCTGCCCACAAGCACAGACCTG